CACCCACCCACACTCACACCCACACCCACACCCACCCACAGCCACAGCCACACCCCACGCCCACACCCACACCCACACCATTACTACTTTATTGCAGTAATAATTATTACTTGTTATTACTTATTACTTAATTACTAATTACTTTTATTACTTTCAAAGTTTTATTACTTTATTACTGGTAATAAGTAATAATTTTTTTTATTACTAGTAACATGTAATAAAGTAATAATTATTATTAGCAATGACTGAGTAAGAGTAATAAAGAGTAATAGTAATGTGCCACCCCTAGAAGTGTATTTTGTGGAACAAAAAAGTGCTTCAGTACATAATGGCATGATGTTACCCTTGGGCAACAATTGCTGTTATTGATCAAAATACAGACAAATTCATTTTGTTTTCGCCTGTCAAAGTGCAATATTTTGTAATTTTTCATTTATTTGCGAACTGTAAAAAAAAGAAAAAGATCTTGTGGATGGTGTGGCTGTGGCCGTAGGGTGAAGAATGCAGAAACTACTCATGAGTTGCAGAAGTTCTGTTGAGAAGAACACATGGCGCTCGCTTTTATTCATCCAAAATGTTTTACAGATTTCCGTATATTCTGTGTCGGTATGTGCTATTTTCTTTCGAATAATGATGAGAATAAATGGTAGTTGTCAGCAAAACCAATCATTTTTCGTGAGAAAATTGTGAAAAAACGGCTTTACTGTCTTTTACCATACTTCGAGCATTACATTTTTATTTGAAAAACTAGAATTAACATGGGCATCATTGAAGGTTAAGCTACAGTTTGACATCAGTGGATTACTGTCCACTGCTGTGCAAGGCTTTAGAAGACGTATGCTTCTGTAAAGTTTTAAAAAGGCAATGAGTGCGTTATCATGATATTTTGATAATTACTCTTTGTGAAAACAAAATTTCAAAAAATAAATCTTAGCAATGAGGTGTCTATTGGTTCAGCTAGAAACTCTTAGAAAACATGTTGGTTAGAGTGAGCAAGTTTTCAGAAACAGTAACTCTTTTGAATCCCTCTGCTGCTATAGGTCCTTTTTGGATCATTGCCTTATCACTAATTTCTATCTGCTAAAATCAATACAATTCGATCAAATGGAATGAAAGTTTTAGTGGAATTAGACAGTCCGTATATCTTGTTTCAGTAGAAGTTTCATTTCCTTGCCACTTTAAGTTATTAAATTATAACAGAGCGAACGTCAAGAATGAGTGAGTATGTTACCTGTGCACAGGCCGATACATATTCCAAACCTCGATAGATTTTCAGTTCTTCCTGCGTGTTACCAGAAAACTCCGGCAGATTTTGTATTTCTGATGTAGATGTGGATGTGATGGGAGAAGTAAGAGTAAGCAACGATACTCACGTTTACAGCGGAGACAAGGATATTTCTATCCCTGTGATAGATACACATGTATTTCGACGAAAATATGATAACGTCCATTGTTTTGACAATGGTAGAGGATAACAACTTTAAAAACTTTTTATCTCTTTAGGATCGGCTGTTGCCAAATGGCAGCATCTCTTTTTTTATTGTCCGAAATTACTGAATAATACTACTTAGCGTTGCAGCATACAATAACTCTATGAAGGGTAATTAACCACTAATTGCCTCCGATATTGAATGTTCAAATGTATGGAAAAAAATTTTTACACTTCGGATGACTCTTTTTTGCCCCTGTGTGGAATATACTGTTCATCTCAATTGATTCCTCCCGTGAGTATTTCTTACTTTATACAAATTTAAGTCGCTCTTTTTTCAATAACAATTATACCACGAGAAAGCCCAGAATTTTCTGCATCTTCTGGTATATTAATCATAATTACAAAAAAAAACAGAAATCATATGGACAAACAATGGCTTACAAGAAAAAATGGTACTTTTTGTTGTACAATTTAAAATAAACGAAATTTTGTTTTGTCTTTTTGATGTTTTTTTTACACGTTGATGCATATAAGTTTAATTATTGCTTATATATTTCAAGTTAATTTTTATCAACACATGTCTCTGACTAAATACAAAAAAAATGTTGAATGAATGGATTATCAACACATTTGCATCAGCAATTAATCGATTATCTATTAATAATGTTTATTTGATATGTGATAAGAGTCACGCTCATAATAGGGTAGATATGATTCAAGCATTAAAGACTGGTAAATGTAAATCAATTATTGATGTTTGCTATATGCCAATGGCATCAGCAAAACATATATCACCATTAGACAATCCAATTTGGCACAATATGAAAGAACATATAGGAAATCGTTACTAAGTAACAATAGCAAATCTGCCATCACTACTTATAGAAACTTTTTTATCATTCTCGAAACGAGAAATCAAGAATGCATATCGTAAATTGCGCTATTGTACGTAGAGCTGATGTTTTTTATGACAAATAACTACTGTAAATAAATCTTATTGTTTTTGTAATCGAGATGAAAAATAAATTGTACAAAAAAAAAGTATCATTTTTTCTCGTAAGCCATTGTTTGTCCATATGATTTCTGTTTTTTTTTGTAATTATGATTAATATACCAGAAGATGCAGAAAATTCTCGGCTTTCTCGTGGTATAATTGTTATTGAAAAAAGAGCGACTTAAAGTTGTATAAAGTAAGAAATATTCACGGGGGGGATCAATTAAGGTGAAGAGTATATCATCACTATAAGTCAACCCCCCGTAAAATATTGGTTCAATGTTGCCGAATGGCAACATTCGTCCGAAACGAGATAGACACTACTTCATAAGCAATAGCACTCACCCCCCTCTCTAACTGAATTCCAGTCTAAAACAACAAAATCACACCTAAACTTTCAATTCGCGATCCTTCCTTGCAATCTCTTCCACTAGCCACATATCTTTGAAATTCAACGACCAAACTTCACACTTCTCTCCCTGTGTCATTTAGGAAGTGACAAACATGAGCTAGACCTAAATTCAACGCAACGAAATCAACCAAATGAACCTGATATTTTTTATTTTTATTTTGATTATCTTCGTCGTCGTGATCTTGATTATGATGACTATGATGATGATGTTCTTGGTAGTTATTATGAAAATCGTTATCGTAGCGCTCTTGATCGTATTGATTTGCGTGATATTCTTGTTGGTCATGGTATTGATATTACATGTTTTGCTAAAGAGAACTCTGATCTTGTTCTTCATGATCGTCTTGAACGTTGTGGTCTTAATGACGCTTGGAGTGAAGATTGAACTGCACAAGGCTTCAGCTATATTTTTTGTCCTTTTGTGATGTGTTTTGTTGGATGTCGGGTTTTAAATGTAATAGAGAATTGCCGTGTCTTAGAGAGCATTAATCGGTGGTACAATCGTTGTACAGGAGTGAGGGGATGAGGGAGAAAAGCTACCATAATCTAGATTTGGCTTCAGCTACGAAGTGCGTGTGTGGGTGTGGATATTCTTATCTCTCACATCTACATCCACACCCACACCCACACCCTCATCAATCAAAATCCTAAAACAGCTTATAGCTATTTTCTTCAGGGAAGCTCTTTATTTAAAACTTTTACGACCGAAAGATTTCTTTGTTTGTAGGATGATAAAATATTGATGCAACAAGTCAAGACGGCTATGGAAGCCATGCTGAAGAAATACCAAACTATGCTAAGATTATGTGTGTTGGCCCGAGGAACTCGTTTCTGTTCACACACACCCATTCTTCCACTTCTTCTTCTTCTTGAACCGTGTACACTCTAAAAAAAAGTGGTACTTTACACAACCTTCCGAAAATGTCCCTGAAGGTGTGTAGAATCA